CAGCGCCCCGGCCCCCGCGGCCAGCGGCCAGCCCGGGGGGGCCCTGCCGGGCACCCGGTCATCGGTCACTCGGTGGCCATCGGTCACTTGGTGGCCATTGGTGGTCACTTGGTGGCCATCGGTGGTCATTCGATGGCCATCAGTGGTCACTCGGTGGCCATTGGTCACTTGGTGGTCATTGGTGGTCACTTGGTGGCCATCAGTCACTCGGTGGTCATTGGTGGTCATTTGATGGCCATCAGTGGTCACTTGGTGGCCATCGGTCACTTGGTGGCCCTCAGTGGTCATTTGGTGGTCATTGGTGGTCACTCGGTGGCCATCGGTCACTTGGTGGTCATCAGTGGTCACTTGGTGGTCATCAGTCACTTGGTGGTCATTGGTGGTCACTTGGTGGCCCTCAGTGGTCATTCGATGGCCATCGGTCACTTGGTAGCCCCCAGTGGTGACTTGGTGGTCATCGGTCACTTGGTGGCCATTGGTGGTCGCTTGGTGGCCATTGGTCACTTGGTGGTCATCGGTCACTTGGTGGCCATTGGTGGTCGCTTGGTGGCCATTGGTCACTTGGTGGTCATCGGTGGTCATTTGGTGGTCATCGGTCACTTGGTGGTCATCGGTCGCTTCATGGCCATTGGTGGTCGCTTGGTGGTCATCGATCGCTTGGTGGCCATTGGTGGTCACTTGGTGGCCATTGGTGGTCACTCGGTGGCCATCGGTCACTTGGTGGCCATTGGTGGTCATTTGGCGGCCATCGGTCACTTGGTAGCCCCCAGTGGTGACTTGGTGGTCATCGGTCACTCGGTGGCCATTGGTCACTTGGTGGCCATCGGTCCCTTGGTGGCCATTGGTGGTCACTTGGTGGTCATCGGTCACTTGGTGGCCATTGGTCACTTGGTGGTCATCGGTCGCTTGGTGGTCATCGGTGGTCACTCGGTGGCCATTGGTGGTCATTTGGTGGCCATCGGTCACTCGGTGGCCCAGGGTGGTCATTTGGTGGCCCTCGGTGGTCTCCAGGGGCTGGTGGCCCTTGGTGGTCACTCGGTGGCCCTCAGCGGTCACTTGGTAGCCCATGGTGGTCATTTGGTGGCCCAGGGTTGTCCCCAGGGCTTGGTGGCCCTTGGTGGTCACTCGGTGGCCATCGGTGGTCACTCGGTGGCCATCAGAGGTCACTCGGTGGCCCAGGGTGGTCATTTGGTGGTCATCGGTCACTCGGTGGTCATCAGTGGTCACTCGGTGGCCCCCAGTGGTCATTTGGTGGCCATCGGTGGTCACTTGGTGGCCATCGGTCACTCGGTGGCCATCGGTGGTCATTTGGTAGCCCATGGTGGTCATTTGGTGGCCCAGGGTTGTCCCCAGGGCTTGGTGGTCATCAGTGGTCACTCGGTGGCCATCGGTCACTCGGTGGTCATCGGTGGCCCCCGGGGGAGGGGCGGTGGCCACCAGGAGCGCCCAGAGAGCCACGGCCGGGGGGGGGAGGGGCCCCATGGCCGGGGGTACCTGGGGGGGGAGGGGAGGGGTCGGAGGCACCGAGGGACCCAAAAACCCCAAAATTCACCCCAAAAATCCCCAAAATGACCAAAAACCCAAAAATTCGCCCCAAAAATCCCCAAATTCGCCCCAAAAATCCCCAAAATTACCAAAAACCCAAAAATTCGCCCCAAAAATCCCA